GTTTTGTTTACGTTCAGTTAAGCAACTCGGACTAACGTCAGAGGTCAGTATTCAAGCTCTTCTCAGCCTCCACCTCCACCTAGGTGGGATGTCCTCTTGAAATATGTGAAAATCACTCTGAAATCATGGGCTGAGACCAGATGGGAGAGCAGGATAAAAAGCATTGAGGCAGTAAGGTATCAGGCTGGGCAAGTCAGAGAGGCTCTTCTGGAGGTGAGGGAAAAAACTGCAGACCCTGTGGTGAGAGTTGAAGCCCAGTCTTTGGCTGAGGAGATTGGATCCTATCGCTTTTGCATTTGTACAGCCATATGGTATGACATTCTCAGCAAGATCCAGCATGTCAGTAAACTGATGCAGTCACCCTCCATGCAGCTTGATGTGGCTGTCGACTTGCTGAAGAAAACCAGAGATTCCCTCACCAGTTACAGAAACACTGGATTTTCTGATGCACAGACAATTGCAAAGAAGATGTGTGAAGAGATGAATGTGGAGGCTGAACTCAAACAAAAGCGTTTGAGAACCACAAAAAGGCACTTTGGCTATGAGTCTCCAGATGAGCCCATACAAGATGCACTACGAAAAATGGAAACCACATTTTTTAATGTGGTCGTGGATACTGCAATCTCTTCACTTGATGAGAGATTTCAGAATCTTGGAGAGGTGAATAACACGTTTGGTGTGCTCCTCGATTTCCCCAACTTAGAAGAAGAGGACCTGCTACAGAAGTGTCAAACCCTAAGTACTGCTCTGACCCATGACAGCCAGCCGGACATTGATGGCACAGAACTTGCAAAGGAAATGAAGAATTTCCCACCATTGCCATCAAACAATATGACAAACATGGAACTTTTGACCTTCCTGCATGAGAAGAAGCTGGCAGAAATTTACCCCAACATGTGGGTTGCTTTGAGAATCTCTGCCACTCTTCCTGTTACAGTGGCTGCTGCTGAAAGAAGCTTCTCTAAGCTCAAACTGATTAAAACTTACCTGAGATCTACTATGATGCAAGAACGTCTCAGTGGACTTGCCATTATAAGCATAAACCATGTGGTCTCAAATCAGTTGTCATATGATGATGTTGTAGATGACTTTGCTGCAAGAAAAACCAGGAGAGTAAAGCTGTAGCAGGTTATGTGAGATTGAGGAGGTGATGGTGTAGTTTTTAAGTTACGGCAGTACCAAAAACACCACTAGAGGTCTTTGTAAGATCATCTTTTTATTTTTATTTAAATCCTTGTATTTTTTTGTGCCTACTCGTTTCTTTAATATCTTATTTTGCACAGTGCCGTATTTATATTGTATTTTTAAGTTAATGTCACTTGTTTACACTTTTTATTTTGGGAGTATTAATAGGTACTTTATGTAAGCTATTTATATTGTATTTCATATGTTCAGTTCATTTTTTTTGTATTTGTTTCTTTAATTCTTTCTAAGTATTTTGAATGTGCAATTGCTTTATTTAAATAAAAGAATGTCCAAGACAAAGCTATTACGTTTCTTATGAGTATATACACTAGCAGTGGAATTTACTGCGATGCAACGGGGTGCCACCTGAAATCTTGCCTAGGGCGACAAATTGGTTAGGGCCGGGCCTGAAGGTGAGGGCTACACGCTCTGGCTGCTCCTGTCAAACCAGAGTTGACTGTCTGCTGGCAGTGTGGCTCAGGAGGCCTCTGTGCATTCAGCTCAACAACCCTGCCATGCATACTAAAAACTAAACCAAACCTTGTGCCCACACTATCTTGTAGTCTTCAAGGAACAGATAACCATGAAT